CAACGGGCACAGTGACCGACCAGATGACTGAGTATGTGCCCAGGAGAGAGGACACAGGACCACACAGCCACGTGTCCACGCAGGATGAAACGGACACAGAAGAGGCAGCGCGCACACAACGGAACATTCGACTTGAAGGGATGCAGCCCTGACGGCCACAGGGTGAGCCCGGGAAACAGGCCACGGGAGAGGCCACGTGTCCTGAGCCCACCTTGTGAGGCGTCCAGAACAGGCAGCGGAGTGGGGAGCCGTCGCAGGACGGGGCTGCAGCGGACACCAGGCTCCCGGGCACGGCTGTTCCCGCCGGTGAGACCAGAGGGCCGCCCCCAAGCCTCACACCTCTGCCCCCACCAGGCATAAGAGGCTCTGCCTCTGGACTGTGAGCCTGAGGAGGACGGCGGGCGACACGCCTGTGGGGTCTCATGGGGCACCTGTTTCTGAGGGTCACCAAGCAGGACCTTGGGACCTGGCCCTAGACACACCGGCTCCATCAGCTGGGCCACGGCCACCCCCTGGGGTGGGGACACTTACTTTCCAGCCTGAATTCCTTCCCAGGTGGACGACAGCTTGATGAGAATCCGGTCCTTGCTGACCCCGGCGTCCTTGTAGAGCTCGATGAGGCGCCGGGCTCGGGCCACCATGGCGTCCTTGTCGAAGGAGAGCCTGTAGGAGCCGGGCGCGGTGAGGGGCAGCAGTGGCGCCCTGGCTCCGAGCCACTCAGAGCCCCGTCTCCCGATCGCCTTCCTTCCCGTGACGCCAGAGCCCGGCTGGAGCAGACGGCAGGGAGCCAGGCCTGGGGGGTCGCGGACCAAGCGGCTGCTGCCCCGGCCGCCCTGCGCCCTTACCTGGCATCTACTTCCGTGGACACGCGGCCTGGAATCTTCTTCAGTATTTCTGCTCCGAACAGCACGTAGAGCTTATCGATCGCATTCTGAACCTGCTCCTCCTGTGGCCTGGGATTCAGGGGGAGACGGGTCAGTGACTCGTTAGGTCAGTGCACAGGGTCCTGTACACAAACGTGTTCCTTGGAGAACCCTTTCACTGCAGCTTCTTCCCTTTTTAAAAAAAACATATTTTTATTGATGAGAGAACCACTGTCCGGCTGCCTCCTGCACGCCCCCCACTGGGGAAGGAGCCTGCAACCCGGGCATGTGCCCTGACCGGGAATCGAATCGTGACCTCCTGCGGGTTCAGAGGTCAACGCTCAGCCACTGAGCCCCTCTGGCCGGGCTGCACCTTCTTTCTTAAAAATGTGTTTATCCCAGTAAAATACGGCAGAAAAGTCACCACCTTAACCCTCTCAGTGCACAGCTCAGGGCATGAAGACATTCACTGTGGTGTGGCCGCCACCACTCCACCTCCACCACGTCCCACCTCCCCCGCTGAGCCCCTCTGGGCACGTGAAAACACATCTCTCTGCAGTCGCCTGGCGGACGAGTGAGTGCACACAGAGGGTCTCAAGCCGGCGGGTCAGTCAGAACCTGGGGCAGCTGCACGAGGTGGAGGCCTGTGAGCGACGAAGGCACCATCTCGTCACCAGTTCCAGGAGCGCCCAGGCCTGGCCAGTACACAGGGCGGGAGACCAGCCCGTGAGAAGGGAAAGCGAAGCTGGCTAAGGTGGGGCGCCTGGGGGGGCAGAGCAGGCGGCACACCCGGAGCCACCCGGGCATCCCAGCCCGGGGCCACTGTCCCTGAAGGCACCGCGGTCCATGCTCACCCCGATGAGAATGTAAAAGGACACCTGGAGAGGGAATCTATGGAGATGCCTCTGCGTGTGGCCTGGAGGCGGGAGCAGGACCCAACGGCATAAAGTGCCCCAAGAAACTGGACTGTGTCCCTAGAGTGAATGTTACTTTGAGCGGCTGTTAAAAGACATCAACAAAAGAGCCGTCACAGGACTGGGACCTGGCACGGGAGGGAGCTGCTGTGGGCGCCCTGCTCCCGCCGCCCTGTGCACAGCTCGGAGCCGCTCAGTGGCCGCAGTCACAGGATGCAGCCTTCCACCGAGCCAGGAGGACAAGCGATACAGGCGGCTCCTGGTGCGAGACACCCGAGAACAAGCTCAGCCGGTGAGGGAGATGAGGGGACCCTCAGCCCCACCACTGCCTCGGGGACCGCACTCACCCGCCCAGCTTCTTGCCGTAGGCGATGGCCTCCTCCACCAGCTCCTGGTAGGCGGGCATCTGCGCCGCAGCCAGGATCAGGGACGGGTTGGTGGTGGCATCCTGGGGCTTGTACTGGTCGATGGCTAGAGAGCGTTTAGAGAGTTTTAGAAAGAAAGAAAGAAGTGCGGCTTGCTTCCCCGCCGAGTCTGACAGTCCCTCTGAGCCCTAGACACGTGCAGCCACGTGTGTTCCCACCCTGGCCGGTGTGGCTCAGTGGATAGGACGTTGGCCCGCAGACTGAAGGGTCTCTGGTTTGATTCCAGTCAAGGGCATGTACCATAGTTGCAGGTTCGATCCCCAGGTCGGGACGCGTGTGGGAGGCAACTAATCAATGTGTCTCACATCGATGTTTCTCTCTCTGTCTCTCCCCCTCTCTTCCACTCTCTCTAAAAATCAATGGAAAAATATCCTGGGGTGAGGATTAACAAAAACAAAACTGTTTTCCAAGCCGAGGTATAGCCCCGCCTCACACATATGTCCCTCCCGTCCTGAAATGGCCGGAGGCAGCTGTCTGCACAGGGATAGGACCACCAGTAAGGCTAGCGCCAGAGAGGAGGGTGCCCCAAGGGCTGACCTCACTGCTGGGCGGGTGGGGAGGGAGGCAGCTGGGATGTTCGGACAGCAGAGGGCGCGCCTTGCTTCCCCGCAGCCAGTGAGGGACGCGCATCAACAACTGCTCCTTCCTCCTGTAAACCTCTCCCTTACCTCCCAGCTCTTCCCCTGTAAACCTCTCCCCTGCCTCCCAGCTCTTCCCCTGTAAACCTCTCCCCTGCCTCCCAGCTCTTCCTCTGTAAACCTCTCCCCTACCTCCCAGCTCTTCCCCTGTAAACCTCTCCCCTGCCTCCCAGCTCTTCCCCTGTAAACCTCTCCCCTGCCTCCCAGCTCTTCCCCTGTAAACCTCTCCCCTGCCTCCCAGCTCTTCCCCTGTAAACCTCTCCCCTACCTCCCAGCTCTTCCTCTGTAAACCTCTCCCCTGCCTCCCAGCTCTTCCCCTGTAAACCTCTCCCCTGCCTCCCAGCTCTTCCTCTGTAAACCTCTCCCCTGCCTCCCAGCTCTTGCGTAGGTAACCAGGCCGGGATTCCAGGCCAGTGGGCCAATCTGGGGCCTCCTGACCAGCTGTCGAGGGGGACTGGGGAGTGCAGAGCGGCCAGAGGGCTCGCTGCTTCAGTAAGTTTATTGGGTAAATCAGTATTTTCAAAGTGTCCTTTGATGACAACACCACAGAGATGGAGAAAGATCCGGGGCGGCAGGACAGGGAGGGCTCTCTGGAGACCAGGGAGATGGCTGTGGCCACGGGGCCCACAGAGAGCTACAGGTGTCACACACCCGCCACAGCGAGCCCCCCACCCCCACCCCCCGAAGCTGAAACTGGTGAACACGGTGAGCGCCCTGATAACAGGAGGGCGCAGGCAGGTGCCAACTTCCGGCACACAGGGTGTCCCCACTGCAGGCGCTGGGCCAGGGACTCTATGGGCTAGTTTTGCAACTTCTCGTATGTCGCTGTTTCTAAATAATGGCTGAGGAAACGGTGCTCAGGAGCGGAGCCTGCACAGGTGTGCAAACCCACAGGCGACGCCTGCAGACCGCCTCTCCTCTAGAAAGTGAGGCCTTGACGGCGCTGACTTTTAACAAAATTAAAGGACCCAGCGGGGAGTCAACAGATGAGCTTCAGGTCCCGGACCCTAAAGCGGATGCAAACTGGGAGGACACTGGTCTAGGCAGAGGCTCCGGCCCCCACCCCAGGCCAAAGCTGAGACCTTCACTTCCTACAATGACCACAAAACCAGGGGCCCAAGCCGCCTGCCGACACTGACGGACAGACGGTATCAACTAACGCATTTTATAAAGTTAATATTCATCCAAAAATGTCAGTCATTGGGTTCAGATGTTTTTAAAAAGAAAACCCGCAAGCATTCTCCAGAAGGTGTGACAGACCAGCGACCAGCGCAGGAACAGCAGACCCGGCTGCCGCCTGGGCCGAAGTCCAAATTCCTCGGCGCGCGAAGGAGGGAAGAAGCCGGCAGGGAACGCGCAGCCGCTCCCCGGGGCTCCCCACCCAGCGCGCGGCCTCGAGGTCGGGCCACCGGGCGGAGGGGGGGGGGACCCCGCCGGTCTGCCGGTTACGCCGCTGCCCGCGGCTCCCCGAAGGCGCTTACGGGCTCTGCCAGGTAAACATCCTCTGAAAACCTCCTCCTCCTGCTGCCGGGGAGGGAGGCCGTTTCTCAAGTCACCATGAGCCAGCAGAAAGCGGCCGCACTTCCTCGTGCGCCCCGAGGACGGGGAGGTTCTGCCGAGGACCCACCCAACCCGGCACCCCCCACGCCGCGCCTCCGCAATGAACGACTCGCACCCAGCACGGCCCGCGCTCTCCCGGCGCCCGGTGCCAGCCCGGCCCCGGCCCCGGCTCCCGGGCGGGCGCGGAGGGTGCAACAGGTGGCGCCGTCGCAGGTGCGGCCGTCCTGGGCCCCGCGCTGTCCGTCCCGCCCAGCGGCCACACTCGCGAAAAAAAAACCGCCCGTTGCCGCCTCAGGGTGCGCGGGATGGAACCCTTTCTCAAACCGGGAGCCTTCGGCAACCTCGATCCTCGCTGACTCCGGACCTTCTTGCCTCTGTTCCCCGGCGAGAAGAGCCGGGTATATATCTAGATCTATGAACCTGGTCGCACGATCACGACCTAGACTGGGTGGGCCGGTGGACCCAACCCCCGATATGATGCCTGAATTTTGTTTTCTGTGCCCGAGATGGGCCTT